CTGGTTTGCCCGATAGGGTTGGGGAACGCCAGGTGGACGTAGTTTCAGTGCTCCTTCATGCTTTTGATCTTTGCCGCCAGCGCCGCGGTGGAGTTGCCCCGCTGCCCGATTGATCTCAAGAGATTGAGCACTCGTTCTGGCGACGGCGGCCTGGTCATGCCCATCTGAACGAACTCGGCGATTAACTGGCGCTTGTTAGAGGCGCCCTCGCCCTTCGTGTTCCTGGCCTTCTTGCCCAGCTTCGCCCTGAGGTCAGTGATGCTGAGGAGGCTGGCTTGTTTCTTGGGCGTGCCAACGTCCGTGGGCGCAAACCTTTTCTCGAAGTCAGAATTCGAGAAACTAGCAATCGCGCCAGCCCAATGTTGGATCCAGGCGTCCATCTCAGAGTCGAGCAAGCCAAGAACTTCGAGTCTGATTGCGCCAAGGCTGCGATCGCAGACTAGTGTTTCTTGGTGTAGTTCAGCAGTGCGTCCAACTTTGCTGCGGCAGCGGCGTCGTGACCAGGCCCGCCCTTGTCGTCCGTCTTGAGGATGTCCGGCCCTGTGGTACATGAGCCGCTTCACCATGACAGGCGTGTCCCATGCCGTCTTCAGCGTAGCTAGCGGAGCATCGTCGGCCGAGTCGGGGGCGACCAGAACTTGGAGCCCGCATCAGCGATGGCGCTCGAAAAGCACATCGTGCCCAGCGGGTAGTCGAAATTCACGCTCGGCACCACGGACTTGACTACGAGTGGCACGGCCTCATCGACGCCAGTGCAGCCATGCGCCCAATGCGTAGCCGAACCCGCCTGCAGATTCCAGGGACCTGTCGACGCACCCGTCACCGCGGCATTCATCCGGGGTTTCAGTTTCATCTCCGAGGCGTGCATGGTGTCATCGAACGGTTTCCCCTTCGCGAGGTCGTCGGCGTTAGTCGCGAACACGGGGCTCTCGCGCAGAACGCGCTGCCGCGGCAATTCGTCGGCTGGCGGAAGTAAGTCGTCTTCATCGTCGTCGTCGGCAGCCTTCTTGCCTTTGCCACCGCGGCTTTCGCCTCCGCCTCCGTTCTTGTGGGCCTTCAGGGCGCAGCCAGTCGCGCTGGGAATCAGTTGGCCGAGCTTCCTGAGAACTCTTTCCGCCTGCGCCAGTTCCATCTTCCAAGTCAACCTCGAGGACATCAGCGTTTTCCTCGACCTTAGACCCAGTGCCCTTTCCCTTCGACCTTCCCTTTCTGCTTCGCCTGCTTCGTCTCGACGGCGGAGCGGTAGAGATGCATGAATTCATCGGGCCTCTTCACCAGACCGACCTTGCCGCCGATGCAGAGCTGCACAATGCGGTCCCACACCGTCTCCAGCTTGTCAGGCTTCGGCGTCGCGACCCTGGCCGCGCGCGCGCGCGCCAGCGCGTCTTCGGCGTAGTCCACGACGGGCACTTTGCTCCCATTGCCAGCCGCAGCGGTCCCCTTCACCTCCTTGGTCGAGTTGAAGTCAACCTCGGTATGAACCGACGGGCGCTTGATCTTGTCCATGTTACTCGTCTGCGTGCCATCCGCAATTCAGATGGAGACGTCGGAGTTCGGCGCAATGAACTTAAGCGTTGACGAGAGCGCCGACGAGCGCCCTGCAGTCGAATGCCCCAGCTGCCGCAGCGCGCAATTGTTGAGCATGAAAATGGAACCGCGAGAGGTCTCATTGATGTCCAGAAGCTTGCAAGAGCGCTGGCAGAAAGCCAAGCATCGATCCCACAAGTCACCCATTGAACCAGACAAGAAGTCGCATGCTTTCTCGAAAGGAAGAACCCTATTGAAGAAAGGCGTCGGTCGTGATTTCAGCTATTCCTTGCGCGTCTGGCAGTAACCCTTCTGGCTCCCATCGGAGCCCCTCTACGCAATAGAAAATGTCTTGCGATAGCTCTCCCAGCTGCTCTTGTATTCGATTATCATTTTATACTTCTGGACGTGGCCGACGCCCGAACAGCTGGCTTCCCAGGTCGACAAGCTACTCAATCACAATGCTCGGCACGTCGTGCCTGAAGGTCGCGACGGTGCCCGCCTGGCCCTCGATGGTGCGCTCGACGTTATCCTCGTTGGGCTTCTCCTCATAGGCCCCGAACGCCGCCGATGAGGGTTGCTCCGCTGACGACCCGCAACTTCTCCGAAAACGTCGCAGACGGGTTTGACACAATCACCCACGTGTCGCTGCGGACCCCGCGCAGGGCGCCGTCTTGGAACGCGCCCTGCTTGGAGTTGTTATGAGTGTCTGCCTCGCACGCGCCGTTCAGCCCGCGGCGCCCGGAAAGTCCTTCGCCGGGAAAGAAATGGTCGAAGTAGGGTGGGTCGAGTCTCCAGGCCATCCTTGCTGATCGCCCAACCCTCCCATATTGTATCCTGTATCGCACGCCCTGTAAGCCCTGGGCATATGGTTCTGATTGCAGCGTGAGTCTCCGCATCAGCGGGGCCAACCATGGCGTCAAGTGGTGGTGTGAAAAATCAGCGCGGTTCGCGGTGCCAAGAGGTGCCAGACGAATGAACTCGAGCCAAACAGTTACGATATTATATTGATGCGAGGTTGTCTTGTTTGTTTCGGCGTCGCAATATCGGCTTCCAGAGCCGCGGCCAGAGCGTCGGGGATCTCGAAAGGCCGACCCAGAGGCCTCGCGAGGGCCTCCCAAACCTACGCGACATCCCAGCCGATTCGCCGGCGGAGCGTTTGGAGCGTCAGAAAGAGCGCGTTCTGTGGTCCGTTTGAGGGGGGGAGGTTGGAACCAGATCCCCCGCCATCCCTACTTCCCCTCTCTCCCTCTCCTCGGGCCGGCGCCTGCGTCGGCGGCGGCTGGCGGCCGGGGCGACGATTTCCATTTCTGGGCCGGCGCCGGCGCCTGCGGCGGCGGGCGGCGGCGACGGGGGGCGTCGACGAGGACGACAGTGGTGGTGGTGATGGGTTGTGGCGACAGAAGTGTTGGTTGTGGTGGTGGTGGTGGTGGTGGTGGTGGTGGTGGTGGTGGTGTGGTGTTATGGTGGTGGTGGTGTTTGTGGTGATGGTGGTGGTGGTGGTGGTGGTGGTGGTGGTTTGGTGGTGTGGTGGTGTTGGTTTGTGGTGGTGGTGGTGGCGGTAGTGGGTTGTGGAGGTGGTGGTGGTGGTGGTGGTGGTGGTGGTGGTGGTGGTGGTTTGGTCGTGGTGTGGTGGTGGTTTGTGCTGGTGGTGGTGGTGGGTTGTGTGGTGGCGGTGGTTTGTGGGGGTGGTGGTGGTGGCGGTGGTGGTGGTGGTGGTGGTGGCGGTGGCGGTCGTGGTGGTGGTGGTGTGGCGGTGGTGGTGGTGTGCTGGTTTGTGGTGGTGGTAGGTTGTGCTGCTGGTAGTGGTGGTGGTTGTGGCGGTGGTGGTGGTGTTGTGGTAGATCGTGGTGGTGGTGGTAGTGGTGGTGGGTTTGTGTGGTGATGGTGAGTTGTGGCTGTGGTGGTTGTGGTGGCGGTGGTTGCTGTGGTGGTGGCGGTGGTGGTTGTGTGGTGGGTTGGTGGTGGTGGTGGGTTGAGGCGGCGGTCGTGGTGGGTGTGGCGGTGGCGGTGGTGGCGGTGGTAATTGTCGCTGCGTCCCCGCCGTCGCCGGCGCGGGCGCCGGCGGCTGAGCCTCAATCTGCCTTCAGCCTCGGCCTCAGCCTCAGCCTGCCTCAGCCTCAGCCTGCATCAGCCTCAGCCTCAGCCTGCCTCAGCCTCAGCCTGCCTCAGCCTCAGCCTCAGCCTCAGCCTGCTTCAGCCTCAGCCTCAGTCTGCCTTCAGCCTCGGCCTCAGCCTCAGCCTGCCTCAGCCTCAGCCTGCCTCAGCCTCAGCATCAGCGTGCCTCAGCATTCAAAATGTGGCCCGGGAATGGAGTTCTGGGAACTCGAAGAACACGAAGTGGCCTACAGTTTGTTCCGGGCATTCAAAATTATGCCCAGGAATGGAGTTCTGGGAACTCGAAGACCACGAAGTGGCCTACAGTTGGCTCCGGGCATTCAAAATCATGCCCAGGAATGGAGTTCTGGGAACTCGAAGACCACGAAGTGCGCTACGGTTGGCTGAAAAAAGTTCCCAGCACCCGTCCGGATCCCGCCCAGACCCCCCTGGGGAGTCATGAGTCATGGTGCTCTCTTTTGACACCATTAGAAACCTATCAGTCTTCGCTGTTAGGTAAACGTTAGCTGGAAGAGGCGATCGGGATCATAGCGTTTTGGGCCTGCTCTGGGATCTCCGTGCACCTCCCCGCCCTCCCACCCCCTGCGTGCCAGGCACGTGCGAGAGACGCGATACGGCGTCGCGTGTGCCCGTTTGCCAAGCCTATTTCTGGAGCCACGCGGTCGTGCGCCCGTGTGTTATTGCACGCGTTTGTTCCCTCCCCCTGGGGCCCGCGAGTTCTGGAGAGAGGTGCACCTGCCGTGGCGACCGTCCTCCGTGGCAGCACCGCTTATCACGCGCTCGTCCGCTCGCGCTCGACGCAGCGATTCAAGGGAGGAGGTGGAGGAGGAGGAGGATGAGGAGGAGGAATATGCGGATGAGGCTGAGGAGGAGGAGGAGGAGGACTTGAGGAGGAGGCGGAAGAGAGGGAGGAGGAGGAGGAGAAGGAGGAGGAGGAGAAGGAGGAGGAGGAGGAGGAGGAGGAGGAGCTGAGAAGCAGGAGGAGCAGGAGGAGCAGGACGAGGAGGAGGAGGATAATAGGACAAGAAGGAGGAGGAGGAGGAGCTGAGGAGGAGGAGGAGCAGGAGGACGAGGATGAGGAGTAGGAAAAGGATGAGGAGGAGGAGGAGGAGGAGAAGGAGTAGGAGGAGGAGGAGGATGAGGATGAGGAAGAGGAGAATGAGTAGGAGGAGGAGGAGGAGGAGGAGAAGGATGGAGAGGAAGAACGAGGACGAGAACGAGGACGACGACGAGGACGGAGAAGACGACGGCGACGACGACGACGACGTCGGCGATGACGTCGACGACGACGACGACGAGCTCGGCGACGACGTCGACGACGACGACGACGAGCTCGGCGGCGCGCCGCCGCAGAGGAGTCCATCGACCACCTCGACGGCTTCGTCGTCGTGACGGTTTGGATCAGGCGCTTGATGGGGTGCAACAGGCACGACGGCTTTGCTGCTGCTTGTGCCCCTCCCCCCTTTCCTGCGCTTGCCGCTGCTGCTCCTCCTCCTCCTCCGCCTCCTCCTCCTTTTTATCATTCCTCCCCTCTCGTCCTTCCCTCTTTCTCTCCTCCTATCCTCAATATTCCTCCTCTCCTCTCATCTCCTGCTCTCCTGTCCCTCCACTTTCCTTTCCGTTCTCTTCTCCTCCCTCCTCCTTCCTCTTCCTCGTGTTTCTCTTTTTCCTCCAGCCGTCCCTCTCCTTGCTTAGCTCCCTCTCGCCTCCCCAGGGGAAGCGCGAGGAGGGGGCGTGACCAAAGGGGAGATCAGGAGGAAGGGAATGGATGAACAGAAGGAAAAGATAATTGGGAGGATGGACGTGAAATTAGGGATGGATGGATGAGGATGAGGATTGGGATGCTGATGTAATCTAACACCCGTGGGGCTGAAAGTGTGCTTGGGCTCTTCAGGCAAAGAGCTGCCGCCTCTCCGGAGGTGTGCGTGTGTGTGTTTGTGCGTGTGTGTGATTCAAGCGGTTGAACAGGGGGTCGCGGGTGCCCCCTGGCCAGACCGAGCCACCCATGAGTCCAGAGTGCTGGAGTCGACTGCGAGTTCACACACCGTGTCGCCCCCTCCGACCGGCCGCGCCAGACGTGGGCATCAGGAGAGACGGTTGCGGGTACCCTCGTCGTCCTGGTGCTCGGAACGTGTTTCCGCCACTCCGTGCAGCATCACAACAGCACGGGGGCGAGCAGGATGACGTGCGTCGTCAGCTACGAGGGGGAGTACTTCAGCGTCGGTGATCTGGAGGCTGAACCAGCGCCCCGTGTAAGCGAGAGACATCGGTCATGCAGGCCTGCGCGGGGCCCATGTCAAGATGCCCACACCGAGCGCCCTGTGCAGGACAGCACGTCATGCGCACGAGAGCCTCGCGGAAATCGTCGGTTGCCGGTGCTCCAAAGAAGAACATGACGCTGTTCCGTATGGGCGGGACTGCGCGGAGACGCCAGCTGATTTGGATGTTGCCGCGCTCGAGGACGAGGAGGAGGAGGAAGAACGCAACACGCGTAAGCGTAAGGTCTGGCCAACTCTAAAGGAGGAGGAGGAGGAGGAGGAGGAGGAGGAGGAGGAGGACGGGGAGGAGGAGGAGGAGGAGGAGGAGGAGGAGGAGGAGGAGGAGGAGGAGGAGGACGACCCGCTCAGAGTGCCCCAGTCGCTAAAGTGGCGTGCTCGGGAGTGACCCGAGGAATCGCCCGCTGGTTGAGGAGCTTCCAGTAAGTATCGATGCAAGAGATGATCATGGAGATGTCGAGGTCCTTGGGGAGCTCGAGAGAGAGAGAGAGAGCGAGAGAGTGAGAGAGAGAGAGAGAGAAAGTGAGAGAGGGAGAGAGAGAGAGAGAGCCCTCGTCCTTGACCGACAAGACAGGTAATTACAGAAGCTGAACATGATGGAAGGGTCGACTACCAGGTCCGCGTCGACTGGCTGCGGGCAATAGTGAGGGGATATCCATGGCTGTGGCCCAGCTGTGGCGTCGACGGCGCCCTGGGCGGCGGCAAGTAGTAGTTTTAAACGTGGCGATGTGGATCAATCGCGCAGCATTGGGCAGGCGCCTGGACAAGCTGCGCCCGCTGATGGCGCCCCGCACGGAGACGCCGATGACGCAGGCCTCTTTCTCAGCTTGGTCGCCTCCTCAAGCAAAACAAGGGCGACGAGGATGGCCTTGGCAGGGGCGGAGGGTGGGTCTCTGGAGGTCGCCCGCTGGCGGCTCGCCGTCCAGCTCATCAGAGGTTCGCCCAGTAGTTTCCTGGGCGGAGGCGTGAGAGTGGGAGAGAGAGAGAGAGAAGAAGCGAGTGAGAGAGAGAGACATATCTATATATATATATAGATAGAGAGAGAGAGAGAGAGAAAGAGAGAGAGCGAGAGAGAGAGAGAGAAAGAGAGAGAGAGAGATAGAGAGAGAGAGAGAACAAGAGAGAAAGAGAGAGAGAGAGAGTGAAAGAGAGAGAG